AGTTTCTACTATGGGGTTCAGTCTTTGGCCCTATTTTATTGTTTATTAGATTATTCTTTATTCTTTATTGCCACACAACAATAGTTGGTGGAATTTCTTATGGTACAGCAGAGAACAGAGATGAGACATACATACATACAACATACTGTACAACAAAACAGAAATGTTACTGTTCGGCAGCAAATCTTAGCTGGATTAACTAGGGTTTCACAGTAATGATAAATGGTTTCATTTGCATTTTTACCAAGGTCTACATCAATTTGTAAAAAACCTGTATGCTCTTGTTTTTTTCTTTTTCTTCATTTATATTACCTATATTTTAATTTGCTTGTCTTTTTCTTTATTCATAATGTACAAGGTCCTTGGGTTTGGAAAGGTGCTTTATAAATAAAAGTGATTATTATCATTATTAGTGGTAATAGTAGTATTGATCACTTTGCTCTTATCGATGTTTAATTGTATGTGCCATGTGTCTGTCTCATCTATTTTATCTAAGCTATTTTAGAGTTAGCCACTCCCTCTGTTTTTGATCATCTGCACATTTAACCAGTTTTAACCAATCATACGGGTATCTAAATCTTTGATCTACTGTAGATCAGTAAAAGCAACTGGCCCAAAATGCATCTCTCCTGTATACCACTGTCAAAAAATGAAAATACAGATTAAAGCAAAATTTAAATAAAATTATTTTTTTAAAGATTGTTTCAGCACAATATCAAAGAAATAATTATTTTTTGAATGGTAACATTAAGGAAAGAGGTGAAACAGGTGGTAGTTTTAAAAGTACCATGTAAGAGGGCTTTTGATTTAATGTATCATTCTAAAGATGGCACTTCCTACAGCATGCTGACATATGCTACTCTTCATGGATAACTTTATCCATCAGCAACCTTTTTTTCCATAGATGTCTCATTGGGTGAAGTCTGTCTTAGTTTATGAGATCTTCAGTAATCAGGTACAGTTACTAGTTTGTACATCTTCTATCAAAATTTCAGCTCTGCAGGCAAATTTACTCTAAAGGTACTTTTCAGGGTAATGTTAACAGTTAAAGGGAAAACTACATTTATTTACATTTCATGATTTTGTTTTTTGAATAAAAAGCTTAGTATAGATCCTAGATCTCAGCCCTTTAGTTACTGTTTATATTTAACAGCATTTTACAACTATTTCTTTATGGTATAGATTCAATTAAATTAGGAATTTAAAAGCCATTCATTCCATGTGTTGTTTGTATTGTTTTTATGATACTTTATAACAGCAGTTGATTGACATTAAATAACGTTTTTAAATCATTCTTTTCTTGCCTTGCAACAAAAGGGCCAATGTTCACTTTTAAGTTTCTTAATGAAGAATTGCTTCCCTATCTTACATTTTTCATCATATTTCTCACTGCTATGCCAAGCAGGTGTAATATATAAAGATATATTATGTGATGGTGTAGCATGGAAAGTTAAGTCTCCCAGTGGAGCAGCTACTGCTGTACCTTGAGCCAAGTACTTTACTCTACTACACCCAGCTGTATACAGTAAGTGAGGACCAGTATTGCTGGGGACAATCCCTGTAATGAACTGGCATGCAATCCAGGAGGAGAAACTCATATTCTCCCTCATCCTCTTAATGTGGCACTCAAAAGAAAATGTGAGTATGTAATGGAAGAGAAGTCTATGGATAGACTGACACAACTTTATACAAAAAAATGATGCATGTAACTCAGTTTAGGGGCAATATACAGTATTATCCTTGATTCCTTAACTACACTTTATACTCCTGTAAGATATACTGTACAGTATAACTTGACCCTAATGCACCAACATACCCTGTACAGAAAAGGTGAGTGGGGAGGGGGAAAATGTAATTGGGAATAAGAATGAGCGTACACCCTTTCATGTAATACTTGTGGGAATCAATCCACACACATCTGGATGGCTAGGCCCACCACCATGTAGATTTAAAGAAGCATTATGAGACATTTCTGAAGTTTCTGAGTGCTAGTTCAAACGATTTTACATTTGGGAAACCTAATGAGTTTGGAATCGAAGGTTCTAACCTGTGGGTAACACATTTTAAATGCATTTATTGGAATCCTGTAAAGCTTGAGTGGAAAAAATAATCAACAATCAATCAGGACCAGAGAGAAATTTGGGCTGATCGTCAGGTTGTCAAAATCTTGGATGAGGGACGATTCTATTTGACATCAAAAGTAATCCATAATGTGGGGCATGGGGTGAGTTAATTAGCCTTCACATGAAAAAGAATGAAAGCTAAAGGATGGGGAGCCCAGATTGCTGTATTTTTTTCCATTATGTTACTGGCCTTAGGATGGAAACAGAGAGAAAAATCAATAATATTATACCCAGGATTTTAATAGAATGCTTCTAGTGACCTCTAGCTAGGCTGATTAGAGTTTTCACTGCACTCTTTGTTTTCAAATAAAATGAAAAAAGATACTTTATAAGAATAAAGGCCCATATTAATCAAAGGTTTTTACCGTAGGGTGAAATTTCCTTCCCTTTTACACATAATGCAAGTAAAGCTATGAAACTAGCTAAAGCCTAATTAAATTAACATTGCTTTTGTTTTTCACTGCTGTAGTAAAGTGGACAGTTTTTTTTTCATTTCTAGAAACAATGCAAAAATCACTCCAGAATATCAAACAATAACAGGCAAAAGTTATATAAATCATTGATGAAAGAATAAAGATGGAAAAAAACTGTTCTGACTCTTCTCTGTAGTTAGAGTGCACAGTATATAATAAAATAAAAAGCAGTAAATCATATTTGCAGATTCAGATGTACAGTAGAACTATAACTGTAAATGACAAAGGAGAACTGATTTACTCTTCTGAGAGGTTATGTGTTTTCTTTGTTTTAGCCAGGATTTAGCCAGAAAATTTAGATTTTTTTCACAGACATCTGTCTGCATTCATCTACACAATCTCCTGGCTACAGAAACACTTAAAATATCTTTCTATACATATGGTCTAATATGTCATGCATAACAAAAAACATTTGAAGAAAACCACTAAGTATAGTTAAATAACAAAGTGTTGATTCTATTGTCAGCCTCCACACAGTTGTACTGTCATTTCAGGCAAAAAAAAACACAAATACACTGAGCAAATACACTATGAAAAAAAACAACTTAAAACCTTAGTTATGTCAGAAGACAAGGAAAAGAAAATAAATGATCAATAAAATCAGACTTGAGCATTCTAACTGCTAGAATTACATATTTAAAAACAAATTAACAAAAGCCTTGCACTGCAGGTTTTCCAAAAACTGATTGTCTTTAATGCACCGTATGAACTCAAAACACCCACGTTGCTGTTTCTATACCACAGTAAATTACAAGTGGCATAGTGTTTAAAGCAACAGGCAAGAATGGCTGACTTGTTAAACTCAAAAGGCAAGCAGCTGAACACCCAGAGATATTTTAATGTAGAAGGTGGTTGTGATTATGGTGATACATTTTATAATGCTGCTGAATTTACACTGAGACAAATTGTGAAGTAATTAGAACTGCTGCTGTTAGTTTCAAAATTAAGAAAAGAAAAGTGAGTCTGACATGAATATTTATGATGTCTCAATAGAAAGGAAAGGAAGCAAGATTCAACTACATAAGCTGTGAGAAATGTTGTCTCTGCCTAGGAACTGCATGCAGAACCAAGGGAGTGTGCCCTTGCTGGGCCACCATACAAAGGACACTTCACTACTGGTGGGACTGTGTGGTCTCAGAGCTGAATATGAAGCCAAAAATGTCCAAAGTTTCTTTTTTCTCCAGTACACATCAGGCCATGAAGTTATTTAGAGCTGCTGGCATGCACTGCATTCTATATTTCAAGCTAGCTCGTAGAATTCTAATGAAGAATTTATTCGAGTGGGTAATGTAAGATACATTGTCCAGTTCCTAAGATCAAAGAGAATAATTAATGCTAACCAATAGTCATATTTTCCCTAGACTGCTATTATTGCCAAATGTCCAAGAACAATAAGCTCCAAGTGTCTATATTCATTTTATTTTTATTTGTATTCCATGTCTGACTTCTGAGATGAAGCAAACATGTGGACTGCCTTTTACAGAATGCCTTCAGCTACATTCCTTCTCAGATGCAAAATGTTTTTTCCAGACAGGTTGTCATGGACACCACAAACTCAGAGTTAAAAGGGAGCCAGTGTATTGCATGATGGAAGGTAACAAAAACAGAAGATAAAAGCTTTTAAATGTAAGAAAGTGAAAAATATTTTTAACAACAGGCATACTCCTTTCTTATGATTGCTCTGATTATAAGATCGAAAATAATTGAAGATTTAGACCATAACCCTTTAGGAACCTCATTTTGAAAAGAAATAGTAAGAGTCTACAAAAGATGAGTGAAAACCTCCTGTTTAAACCTGTGTAATAACTGTAAGATAATTTTGAACTCACAAAGATGAGTACTCCTAATATAGTGTGCAATGGGAATAATTAGCACAGCTAACTACTGTACATACTGTATGCCTAAATATAAAGTACAAAGGATAGGGAAAAGGATCAGACCATATTATTATTATTATTATTATTATTATTATTATTATTAACATCCTTTACCTTGTGCAAGGGTTTTACTTGTGCGTATGTATTTTGGGGGGTTTGTGAGTATGCCTTTCTTATCTTTGGATAGTTGTTATAGAACCTTTTGGGAATTAGGCTTCAAGTGTGAATGCCAATTTTTCATGTGTAACTCAAACATACCCAAGAAAGCCAACTCAAATGGACAAAATAATTGTACCTACACATCAAAATTGACTTTTTTCACATTTTCTTGTACACTTATTGTTTGCATTGTATTGCAGTTTGTACTAAGGTTTTCTACCAAAAAGCATGTTACCACAACATTTCTCAGAATATGGTTAGGTGTAATAAAGTTAAAGTGATAAACAGTTTATAGTTTCAGAACTGATCAGCCTTAAAACAAAACATTTATGCTTTATCTAGGATCTCAGTTGAACCATAACTCATACCTTTTTCTCTCCCTCGATGACTGTGATAGGCACTGCGGTGGAGGGCCACTTGTTCTTGAGAGGTAAAGGTTTGTCACAGTTCCACAACACTATTATCTAGAAGCAAAATAACATTACCCTCAATGAAAAATTGGAAACATTAAAACAATAATACTTTTGTTTTTCATTATATCATTCAGGTCAACATAAGCCCAGCAATACACAAAAATGGGCATTGGAAATGTGGCTAAATTGGTGCAACTACATATGTATAAATGATGAGATTTTGAAATAAGAGAAGGATGTGATGAGGTGAATATACTAAGAGCTCCTAATTGTGTGCCTTTATTGGTGGAACTGTAAACTGAATTCTCTTTTAGCTATTAAGAACACAAGCCAAAGTGATCTCATGCCCCAGATACAAACCACCACCAACTCAGGCACACATCTCATCCAACTGAGACACACAGCCAAAATGAATGTCAGACTTGGTATGCCAATTAAATAGTCCCTTGAGACAGAGAACTTGAACTTCAGAAAACAGGGGGAGCAACATGAAAGTGAGTGTGCAGCACTGAGTGAGTGTGGGAAAATGAACCATTACAAATGCAGCTCCTTTAGAGTCTGCAGAAGTTCAAGTAACTAAAAAGTACCAATCCACACTGTGTCGGTGCACTATGCAGTAACAGAGCAACTTTCTTCTGGAAATGCTGTCTCGGGTTCACCTATAATAACCAGATTCATATGGAGAAGCAAATGTCAAACTTAGAATGCCAAAAGAGTGGTCTCCTGATACTGGAGATTTAAAGGCTCTAGAGAAACCAGGGGCAGTGATTTCACTGTAACAAGCTCATTATGCATTGTGGTACACTCTTCATTATGCAGCAATCTTATACCACCTAGTAATACACTTGGTGAGGAAAACTACATTTGTGACAATACAACTTTAGAATATTGAAGAAACCTGTCCAGTGAATATCCTGGGAGAAAAAATAAGGAAGACGTGGTAAATGAGGGAGATTTTGACAGGCATGGATCTGTAATAATCCCTTTAAGATCTACAGAGGTGACCCAGGTTTGCACACTCTTCTGCAATTGCAATGCAAAATGTTTTAGTCTATGCTTATAGTAGTACTGATGAAATATACAGTAGATATGTACTTAGTATGAAAAAGCCTTTTCGGTGCCAGCAGTTTCAAATATGTCAAGAATGACGTTGTAGAAAATCTAATTTTGAAACCAGTTTGAAGTAGTGCAGAAGAAAATACATGAGAAAAGGAGAAACAAATTATTCATTCCTTCTTCTTATTGTCTTTGTTGGACTTCTTAAAAAATAATTTATTGTTCAATAAATAGAACTAGGCTGGAGTGCAATAAAAATTGTTTTAACAATTTTCAAATGTTATTGCAGTTTATTTTAACACTTTACAAATAAATATTGCATTTTAGGTTCACATTTGGATATTGTACATAGTGTACTTAGCTATATCATTAGATTTAACTTTTTTCAGTGGTTACTGTATATCCCATCTTAAAGTACTATCATGTGAAATTGGCCTCTTCACTTACAGGAGAAGAAGCATGAGGCTTATTATCTTCATCATTGTACAGATAAAAATACTGTATACAGCTCACTGAGCAGCCATAAGAAACTTTTCAGAAATTACTTGACACTTTCTAATTACTGTCTTCATTTGCTGTTCCTTGCATACAAATGGCCGTATGGTAGAAGAAGAAAGCAACTTTGGAAAATACTGTACAAGGATATTTCAATAAGTTATTCATCTCGACATGTGGACGATGGGCTATAAATTTGTTCTTGTTACAACATGTTGAGGCAGTTGGGCAGTTGACATAAATTAACAGCTCTGTCAGTTGCGAGCTCTTGAGTGACACCATGTTTTTCATTATTGGAATAGTACTGTACATGTTAAATGAATGATTAAATTAGTACATCCATAAAAGATCCATTAAATGTTGGACAATTCATCACATTAAATCTGTCTGCCTTATAAAAGCTAATTTATACAAGAATATTATCCAGCCATTTCTTGGAAGAATCCAGGGTGTCATCTTCAACAACATGACTGAGTGCTTGTTTCATACTCCCACAACCCAGTGTGTAATGAATTGCCTCCTGTTCTCAGTTTAAATGCACTGTGATGGGTTTTCCACTTGTGCTGGCTGGTTTTAAAAAAGCATGCTGGATTGACTTTATCAATATCTTTGAGGATTTTGAAAATTTGTAAGATGTCCCATTGTAGTGTTCTCTGTTCAATATACAAAACCATCCCTTTTAGCCTATCAGTGTAGGAAATTCATTTCAACTCAGTATTGTATTTGGTTGCTCTTTTCTGGACTGATTCCAGAACACCATTGTACGTAGAGCATTGTGCAATTGTAACATAACTATAATTGATTTACATTCCTGAATATGCCTTTAACAGTACATACATTATTATGCTGTACTACATTTGTACTATATATACTGAAGTACAGTATATGTTTCAGCCTTTACATAAACACCTAAATCTTTCTTATCTTTAATAAATTCCGGCTCACTATCTCTTAGAATCTAATATAGTTCTAATTGCCTTTATTAGAACGCATAAAGAACTAACTTCTTAATATATGCAAGGTTTCCATAAACTGGCATGTATTAGTAAGACTAAGTGGTATAGAATTTCTTGGTTTTGTCATATTTTATATGGATGAGTACTACAGTACATTAGCAATTCTTCAGTCAGTGAGTATAACATGTGTCTTGACAGACTGCTGAAAGAGTTTTGTTAGTGGCCTTTGAATAGCATCTCTTTCCTTGAGTATAATTGGTAGTACACCATAAGGTTATGGAGCTTTTAGTAGTGGCAATACATTTTAATACAGCACATACACTATTAATATGGAATTCTATTTTTCCTCAGCTTGAGGCAAGGTGTCTGTTCCTTTCTTGGTAAACACCTACAGTAAGTGAAATATTAATTTAATACATTTCATTTATATTTTTACATTTCTTTTTTAGCTTGTGTTTTCAGTTCATTGTACTCTCTTTCTTTCAACTGTAACTTATTTTTAGTGCTTTTTCTTGCCTATTATATATACTGTTTATACAGTAACATTTTTAAAAAGTAATTTGTTTAATGTTGTGGGTCACAACTTTCCTGACTTAGATTTTTTTGCTGATGGGATATACTGTATCTGTTTTGTGCTCTTTAAGCTTTTGCCACCCACCTTGTACTAATTTATATGCTGTCCCATTTTTTAATCTTCATTTCATTCATTCACAGTCTATCTTCCTGAAATTGTAAACCTTTGTTTAGGACTTGTGGAGTTCCAAAGTATTTTTTCAAGGCATACCATATTGTACCATATTCAATTACTGTGTTGGGCAGAGTGAACTTTGCATGATTCCTCCATGTCCACACGTTTTGATGGAAATGGAATGCAATGACGTGAAATCTGTCCATGCTTCATGCCAAAATCCCTATAAAAATTAAATAAGCTTAATTCCAATGAAAATAAATCGCTGTGTTGCTGAAGGTGTTCATCCAGTGTCTGGTACAGCGATCTTTATTTTCACGCATATTTACCAATTATGCCATCATATACTGTACCACCTTACCTGAGCGCAGTATTTGGATTTGGCAACAGCAATGATCAGTTTGACAATAGGCTGTGACTGTGACTGAAGAGGGGTTACAGCCTGGATTACAGCTGTGAACTCTTGGGATGGACTTTTACCTGAAACATACAAATACAGGAATTTAAATAATGAATATTCACTTTTACAATCATTTTACCAGAATAATTCAACCACACTTAACCCTTAAACTCTTCTGTAAACTCTTAAGTGTTCATTTGTGAAAAGAAAAAAAAAACCTTTGTCAAATAAAACAAGTATGTCAGATAAATACTGTACAGTATATCATACTAAACTGAAAGAAAACAGTCTAAACATCTAAATCATGAAATCCCAAATAGACTTTGAAAACTAGAGTATAAACTCTTCTGAGACACCATATTCCCATTCAGGAATCTTCAAATGACTGTTTACTCTTCAGTACCAGAAGTGACTTTTTCCATAAACAACAGTTTCTCACTTTGTATTTCATATTCAAAATCTTACAGCTACAGTATATGCATTTTATTAAACAAAGAACATTAAGATTATTATGAATACAATTTATGAATCTCTACAGCCTATAGCAACAAGCAAACTAAAGAAAATGATCCCTCCATGAGCACTGACATTTACAGAAGGTACTGCAAACCGCTTTATAGAGGTACTGTATATGTGTTACAATTTGCAACAGCTGTGCAGTATTTTGTTTTTATTACAGAGACTGACCTCTGGGAAGACTAATGAAAATGTTTGTGAATTGCCACCTAAAGAAGAAAGTTTGTCTCCACATTTATTTTAGAAAACTGTGACGATAAAGTTGAAGCATTCGTCATGCAGAGATACAATAACTGACTTAACTTTTTAACCACAGTTTGACAAATCAAACTTCAACTCAAATATGTATACTAAGCATTAAAAGACACATCCCTTACAAATGAAAATTGCTTTTTTTTATAGTAGCCACACTAATATTTTATTAAACATATATGACATAGGTAAATCCATAATGCTTATTCACACTTGTCAACAACAAGGTCAATCGGCAGATGGTCAACTGTGAAATGCACAAGCTAGCAGTGTGTGTGTATCGGTGGTGGAAGCAATAAAAATTGTACATCCATGATACACCAGTTTGCAGATGATATCTTGTGGGATTCGATCCCATTCCTCTCATAGAACCTGGACAAGAATGTACCTGTTCACTGGTCTCTGAGCCCTGCATCCCACAAATCACCCCAGCCCACTCCATGGATATTCAATGGGGATCAAATCTGGCAAGTAGGGTGCCAATGGCATAGATGTCACATTATCATTTTGCAAGGAAGTCACTGTTACGTGAGCAGGACATGCCGGACGTGCAGGATGTGTTCTTCTAGATTGTTGTCACATCAGCAGGACCCCTCAGAAAGACGGCAAGTGATGTCCATAGATTTGAACAATGAAGAACCATGTTACATCAGGTTGCCATCAATCTCTACAAATGGAATTCTGTAGTGACAGCTCAGGCTGTCACAATTTGATGTATAGAGATTGCTGGCTGTGAACTGTCACCAGGTAGAAAAAGTTAGTCCAGTCTTTACCATACCAATGGCACAAAGGTGTTTTCTCTTGATAATTTCCATTCTGAGTTCTTCTTTCTAGATTTTCAATGTATTAAATCACTTCATTATAGTGCACAAATTAATGCTCTCACTAACGTAATGACTTACAGTACTGCTTATGCAACAGTGATACAGATACAGTATACCATAGTATGGATAGTGCACAGTAGTCACCTCAATCTACAAGACACTCTAGCTTTGTAGCTGACGTAACCACATACTGTAGCAATTTTAAGAGTGCTTGAACTGTTTCCTCTTGCATCACATTTTTTATACCTCCCAGAACTACCCATGCACCAACAGACCAGACAAAGCAGTAATCCTACATTACTGCCATTTTTTAATTTCTAGCACTTACAACATTCACCACTGTCTGCCTGACACTCACAACACATGACACAAAACATAAGGATACGTGCACAAAACAATGTCCCAAAGGAGCAGTCCAGCATTGCCATTCTCCAAAAAAACAGCTCCGGTCTGTGACCTGGCATCTTCCACAGTGAAGAAAGAGAAGAAACTCTGTCTAGTTCTTTGATTATCTTAGACATCCTCTACATTTCCAGACATCTCACACAATGTGGTCCCTTACGCTCCCCCTGAGCATTCCCAAACTGCTCCCTGCTCCTTGAGAAAGTCACTGTCTTTCTCAATTCTGCTGTCAGCTCTCCTGATTTATTAAGTTCCTTCCTGGACAGGGCTCAAGGGTTGTTATGAATGGTGGATGTGAGAATTGTCCTTGTGATGTCTTGGGTGTAGGCAGAGCTAATGGATCTAGGATAATTACTAAACTGACTCTATGCAGATCCCCTCTGCCTCAGGTCTGATCTACACTGGCTCAGTACCACCACACATCTCAACATGACATCTTTTACTGTATAGTAATTGACTGGCATCTGAGTAAACAGTGCATCTATAATGTTTAATGAATTGAAATAATTGCAAAAACATTTAACTGATTTACAATTTTTTATTAAAATATATTTTTCTAAAAATTACACAATACATGCTTAAAAGGAGTGATCAGTTTCTTTTGATTGTCAGAATAAATAAAACTTTTAAAAAAAGGTTAATTGGTAAGTGCAGCAATTTTATACATTATGCAACATTTCCAGTCAGTCTGGTACTCTGGATCAATTGCTATGCATGAAAACTTTAGACATTAGGTTAAAGGATAATCCACAGATCTATCCTGTCTTAGCAAAATGCTAAGATGTCTTGAAAAGCATTGATATTTATTGATTGAAAACCTCTAAACCTGGCCAGCAAGGTTAATACTCCCCAGAGGGAGAGCACTGTCAAAAAGGTGGGACAAGCAAGCAAATCATTTGAGAGTTCACACAGAGAAGACTTCATTAAAATTGACAAGACAGAGACAATTTACTTTTCTGAAAACCTTTAAAATACAACTCTCAATATGAGAGGCATTTTGAAGGATTCCAGAAGCTGCAACTGCAAAAATGGCAATCCAGCAGGATGTTGTCAGACACAAATGTCATAATTATCGCCATGTTACTGAGAAATACAGTAGCTCCGTACAACTGTAATTTACAAGCCCAAATATCCTCTTGTGTTCTGAGAAGACAGCTTTACTTCAGTAGCTACTTTGAAACACTTTTAAACAAATAAGATCTGAAGTCTTTCATTGATTGAGTGGCATGGGAGATATAGTGTTTACATGATCAAAAACAGGAGACTTAAACTGAAAATACTTGTTTCAACAAAATATTCATACTAGCCATGACAGAGCCCCCGGAATGAAAAAGCAAAAATCTTTCATGGTTTCCATAAAATGCCTTTAATATGCAAATGTGCAGCAATAATGTCATGATGGTCAATGTAGCATCCAAATCATATCCTCAGTTATGCTCACTTTACTCAATATCCTTCATCTGATCACATTTATGCAAAAAATAGACTGTTCCATATAAACAAGTAAAAATAAACAAGTCTTTAAGCTATTATAGGATGGGAATTCTTTGTATGAATCCCCAATCTGTCACATAATTCCTAAAATCCCTAGATTGGACTAAACTTGTGTGCAATCAATGGTCTTAAAATCATTTAAAAATTGTAAATGAAGTCCAGGTGTTTTATGTTAATGTTGTTTCCTTTTGTTTTCAGAATAGTCTGCAAAATAAAATTGCAACCTAAAATTGTATTGATTTTTTATGTAAGGAAAGGAGTAAACTTTCTCAGTGCTCTACCATACTAAAGCAACATAGTATAAAAATAGATACTATATGTATTCTATATAAGTCATTTATCACAAAGACTACTGGCCACAAGGATCACTGTTTGAGGGGCATTGTGGAGACGAAGAAATTTACCAAATAATTCCAATACAGAGGAGAGAAACAAATACAAAGTATTGTATTCACTTTCATACCTTCTGCACCAATGCTTTTTATTAAATCCAATAGATTAGATGTGCCATTTTTTTTCATGAACATAGAACATGATTCAAATGTAGTTTAATTATGATGAAGAATGCAATTTTGGCAAACACCGGAAACCAAGACTACCCCAAAGTTTCCAATCTGAAAAGGCTAAGACCTAGAGAAGACTTTGACCACATTTTACTGGCAGACTTTGAGCCTTGTCAGTTCATTAGCTGAATGTAACTCAGGATCTGAGTTTAATGAGCTAAATATATCGAAGGTTCTTCTATTCCTGATGAACAATCACAATATGCACATAGAGGAGAAAGAAAAACGTAATTGGTGTTTTCATATTCTTAAATGTAAGATAAGCAAATACTGTGCTTCTTCAGCTAAAAATAATTGAGATGCTATAAGGTGTCATAATGTCAATTGACTTCTGTAAAATTGGTCCTGCTGTGAGGTGTAAGCCCTGGAACGGACTGGCATTTCAGCCAGCTAGGGTATACCCTAGCTTGCTCCTATCATTTCCTGGGATATGCTCTGGACCACTGTGACCCGAAATTCGATGATGAATATGACAACAACAACAACAACAACAACAATAATAATAATAATAATAATAATAATAATAATAATAATAATAATAATAATTAGTATTATTATAATTATTATTATTATTATTATTATTATTATTATTATTATTAATTTAATACATGGATTAAGTACACTTCTTCTTTTAATTGAACTTAAAACTTTTAAGCTTTATTAAAGTTTGACATGATGTTGCATGTTTTAACTTTCATGCATTTGTCAATCCATCTTAATTGTCCATGGGAAATTTGGATTTAAAGATGCAGACTAAATAACCTTGACACAGGCACTTGATAATTAAAATGATGCAGCTCTACAAAATTATGTCTGATCATATTAACATTAATTAAACACTCATTTTAGCACATTTTCACAGTCTGTAGTGCATCTTTTGTTCTCCTGTACTGTCTTGGCCATCATTTACAAAATAGACAAGAATCTACAAGGCCGCAAACATATTGAAAACAATAAGCACGTTATTTTTGTAATGAATGTGATACTGTAGGTGGAGCTAAAAAGATCTAATCACAAAGACAAATGAAG